GCAGATTCCTGGGCTCCACCCTTGTTTACTGACTCTCTAGGGCAGCGGTTCTCAACCTGTGGGTCGCGACCCCTTTGGGGGTCGAACGACCCTTTCACAGGGGTCGCCTAAGACCATCGGAAAACACATATATAATTACATATTGTTTTTGTGATTAATCACTATGCTTTAATTATGTTCAATTTGTAACAATGAAATTGGGGGTCACCACAACATGAGGGTCGCGGCATTAGGAAGGTTGAGAACCACTGCTCTAGGGGGTGCAATCTGAGCATTTGCATTTTAGTAAGTTCCCCAGTGGTGGGTTTTTTGTTTTTTGGGTGTTTTTTTTGGGGGGGGGTGTATCGTTTTTTTCTAAATCCCAACTAAAAACTTACAACCTCTGAGTGGAAGTTAAATGGAATTCACAACTCTTAAGAAAGTGCAATGTTAATTTATGCAGAAAAAAAGCTATGGGAATAACGCCAGGGTCATGGAGAGAAGAAATAAGTCAGGTTTACGCAGAAAATTAGACGGCAATTTTCGGGACGGATGTAGGACATTCAGGCAAAGAGAGCAACACCCTGCGCAAAGACAAGGCGAAAACCGTGCTGTGTGTTCAAACGGCACTAATTAGCTCTGAGCGTCGTGCTGCCTGAGGCTGCTCGGAGCTGCGGGTCGGGAGGTGAGAAAAACCTAAAACTGGTTGCCCCGCAGGTATGACCGCGACCTGGGAGCGGGTTCTCTGCTCCCGCAGCTGCTAATTGCACTGGGGTTTGTGGATGGAGCGGTGCGCAGGCAACCGGGTGCCCACACACATGCGCAGTGCGTGACCCCGAAGCCAAAAGTGGGATGGTTGAGGGCAAGTGTGTGTGTTTTTTTTGTTCCTGACACTCCCCTTGCTCCAATTCAGCAGCCCTGGCTGTCCCCATTTCTGGCTAGGAGATCTGACTTTTCTTGATACAATAGAATTCCCCCTTTCATTCTGGGCCACTCCAGTAAATCGCTGCCAGGACTCAACATGGCGGGCGG